CAGAGTCCGAGCTTGTTCATATGGCACTAAAATGTTGCAGATGTACTTTGGTGCGAGGCCTTGTAACAAGCAAAGCTGCTTTAAAGTCTATTCTCTGAGCCACAGGAAGCCAGAGCATAGACCTGAGAACTGGACTAATGTGATCACACCTCCTGGTTCTTCCTCTTCAGTTTTCGAGCTGAAGCGTTTTGAATATGCTGTACTGACAATACTGAATATATACACCACCAATGAGCAGCCAACAAACCAACTTTTTTTTTTTCATGACAGATTGACGCCAATATTGAACATAGGAATTCAGTGTATCCCTAAGCGTCATCTTGATAAAAAATGAACTATTACAAATCCCAAGCATCTCACATTACCTCTCATTCTCATTCACCGCCTTCTGTCTTCAGCACAACAGCTTCTTTGTGTACATTATTGTATTGAAGCATGAAGGAGCGGCCCGTTTGTCTGTGAGTACATACTTCTAAGTGGCTGTACTGATGTCTTTCTCGCTCAGTTAGAGACACATGCCTCGAGCCAAAACAGCCTTTCATCCTCAGAGCCATGCATTATTGATGACGGGACCACAGCGACGCATAGGAGCAGCGCGTTTCCCTGCTGCGTGATACATGCCTGTGCGGATAGTGAACAGGTGGGGTCTAACTCGCAGCCCACCCCTGATTAGCTGTGCAAATCGCCAAATAGCCAATCAAAGAGCCCAGCCAATACCGGGAAACCATTGGTCCCTCTGTGCTAATAGAGTGACAACAACACAGACTCCCAATCTGCCCTGTGTTTTTCTCTTTTTGTTGCACATAACTAAATTTCATATGTGTGATGCCATTATTTCAAGCCGGCGCTGACGCAATGACGCAATATTTAGAATGAGCCAGGCGTACACCGACACATGGCAAACTTCTTCAGAGAGCAAACTATTCAAGTCGGCTTCATTTACATATAAACAAGAAGACAGACCAGCGCTGAGACACAGACGCACACGGATCGCTGAAGGGAGACTTTAAACTAAACGCATTAATTCAAGCAAATTAATGCATGAAACGGAAGGTGAAGAGAAGAAATAAAAAAGAGGTTACATTAGAATTAATGAGGAAGTTTTAGTGAAAGAAGTGTGGGGTGAAGGATTTTCCCCCAATTGGCTTCCTATTGAGGCTGTGCTACTTATGACATTTGAATTCATAATCAGTCATTCATCAATGATTGTATTGGTTATTTTTAATTGAGAGGTCTTCAGACAATTGTCAGCCAAAGCATGAGGAGGTAATTTGTGTAAAATTGAAAAAAATCTTTGTTTAATGGTGCATTTCTTTGCTGTCCTGGTGGAGCTTCTTTCTTGGATTCGTCTAAATCAGTCCAAACTAAGGCTCAACAGACAATACATCCTCTCGTTCACATCAAAACCACTAACTATAAAATCAATACATGCATTAAATACTGTAACCCATAATAAAATGTCCTCACACATAATACATACAATGCAGTTCACAGTGTCAACCAGCCAACTTCAGCTCAGCCAATATAAATGTTGTACCTCATTCAGGGCCTCTAAATTTCAGTCATTGACTGTATTTGTATACATTGTCATTTGTTTTTGATTGTTCCACAGAATTCTGTCTTTGGTGCTAATGTGGGTGGTGAGATGGTATTTTTTTGTCATTCAGCCAACTTCAGCTCTGTTATAGCTCATTTTAAAGCTCAGAACAGTTTTTGAATGAGTTATCAGCCCCTGGACAAGTCTGGAGAACTAAAGTGGCCCTTTTACTAAACATGTTTTTCTTCCCTGGATATGTATACAGTTTGTCATTAAACTTTTACATTGGAAAAAAATGTGACTCCACTCTACTAATTTACAGGTTTTAACAGTGGAGAGGTGATTCTTTACTTTTTTTATTCACTGAAATAATCCATAATTGACGAATAATTGAAGATAATTGTACATATAAATAAACTGAGGGACATTTCAAGCAAAGCCATAACGGTACCAGACCATGGAGCAGATCCCCCTCAGGACAGTCAAGGAATGCACCTTTGAATAATTCCTTATTTGAATAATAATTTCAAAATAAGTAAAACAAATAAGATTGAGTGGGAAATGTACAACTTTTAATGGTCAAAACAATTATTTATACAGGTCTCAGTGCAAACTATAAGTGTTCGCATTAAAAGGCAAATGGTATGGTTCAGAAATATGTATTTTCTCCTCACAGCTCGCACAGTCTTCCATGCTGGCTTGGATTTAGGTCAGGTCTCAGGTGCTGTGCTATTTTCATGCAAGTAATAAAAGTGTTATTAACAAAATATTGATAACAGCAGAGAGAAAACAACTGAATGAGTTCATCAGCCTCTTGCTCTGCTGCAGCCATGCAGCCTGTGGGAAAGTGTGCTTCATTGATGTTTCTAATGAAGTGCACTGAGAGCCATTGATCCAGCAGGATGAGAGCGAGCTGTCAAAAGCTATCAGGGAAGTCAAAAAGCCACTTTCAGCCATGTGCCACGGAAGATATAGAACAATGTTGTCAGGGCATAAGAAAAACCATGAGAAGCCCCTCAGGCCAACGCTGGAAAGAGATACATGGGACTTGATGACATTGTAATGCACGTTGTAACTTCAGCTGGTGCAAAACAAGTGTGAGAAAACAAAGTGAGAAAAAGAACCACATTTGCAATCTGAAGAATCAGCTCAGTGGTCGTAAGTCATATTATCCTCCATTAACAACAAAACAGTTTGAATGTGGTCTTACATAAAACTTGCTACGGCTCGACCCTGTATTTTGGTATTTGTGCCTTTTGACATTCATTGCTAATGCCACTATATGTGTTCTTAATGCAGGATTAAAAATGTAATCCTGTGGTCAGATATGATTTGCACCACTCATTATGCAGCTCTCAGAAGCCGTCCGTCTGAAGAGGAACTAAAACATTTGCAATAATAGCCATGCTTGCGGTAAATTGTTTAAATTGTCTTTTGTTGATTGATTTTGATTTATTTATTTATGTACTGGACTTGTACTCCAAAGCGGTTTTACTGCAAATGGCAAATAAAAGGAATCTGAATCTTATATGAAGAAGAGACAGAGGTTTAGCTTTGGGTTTTGTAAATGGTCCCAAGTGAACAGAAAACTAGACAAGACACAGCCAATATCTCTATTTTTGCTGTGAGCATTATGCCATTGTAAAACCAGGGATTGTAATTGCCACTCCTTCTACTGTCCCCAGAACGGAACACTGAAACTATTGATGCACACAAAGAAGTAGCCCAAAATGTGAGAGCTCAGCAAGCGAGTAATCTGACTAGTGACATGTCATGATGTGAAATGCGTCATGGTTAAACCTTCCTCTGACACTAAGGCTGTACATGGGGCACACTAGTAATTACAGCCCACAAGTAACCCCCCTGCTAATACTACCCATGCACTAGGGCACTTTTAATCAGGAAACTTGCAACTGCAGAATAATCTTTCAGGCCTGTGTCGTCACAAGCTGGTGAAAAATGGAACAAATCTCCTGCTTTGCCTGGACTTAAGAAAGGTTATGAAACAGTGACAACAATTTAACAGGATATAAAAGGACATTTATTTTTCATACTAAAATAGTTGATGATTGCTATTAATATTTCTACAATACATAAACAAAATAGTCAACAAAATGAAAATAACTCTAGTGGCCTAGAGGGGAGGGAGGGATTGTTTACCTATTTAGTGCATATTTGCTAAAGTTTCAGCAAGGTTCAGCAAACTGGTTCAAAAAATGCAAATGTGTAGGTTTTCTTCCACAGGAAATGGTTTGAAATGACACAATGTTTGGCCTATATATAACTAGGCACTTCTACATTCAAGACAATGACGATATTCTATTCTATTCTATGAGACTTTTCTGTGATAGGTGTCAATTTAAAGCTGGGGTACCTGACTTTCAAACCAATACAAATGGAACAACATAATGCATTCCATCTGACCTGTTCTTGGCTCTCAAAACAGTTTGGTTCTATCACCAGCTTTAACATGCATGTGTTTTGGCCTCTGTCACAGCTTTAGAATCAACTTTTTCTGGTATAAAAAGTGAAAAAGAGAGACAGATGACAGCATTTGTTTTGGTTCATGTTCTGATATTTTACTTTTACAATACTATTACAAAAATGTAGTCTTGTTTAAGTGGTAGAACATGACAATATCCAACAAAACCTGATTCACTTACCATAACTATTATGTCTACATGCCTCTGAAGAACAGGTATATCAGGGCATCAAAAAGTCACTGGAAACAAAGACTCAGGCGTTCAAATTGAGAACGATATAATATATTAATAACAACTTCATGTCCAGCTGCCAGTTAAAATAGATATCCTACGAACTATAAAGATAGGAGATGCTTCACTCACCGCGCAACGAGACAGCGTGTGGTGTTTTGAGAATCAGCCGCAGCAGCACCCCTGATTTGGTTCTCTTTTTACGCAAATAATAACAAATATACTCAGGCTTAAATGCATGCAGACAACAGTACTCACTCAGCCCTTTATGAAGTTATCCGCCACATCACATCGCTCAGACTCCTGGCTCTTTAAGCGGATAAAAAACTGTTTTGTACTGTGCAGCTTTGGCGCCTCATGATTGGCTGCAGTCGGGCAATATGATTTCACTCTCGGCCAAACAGTGCGAGCATTGGGAGCGCTCGTTTTAGCCGCGATATAACCTAACCCCACGCGAGTGAACGGTGTTTCCACGAAGCAGGTGCTCAGTTAAAACAAAACGAGCACCTACACATTACTTCCGCTCAGCTACTAACCGTAATGCGGATGGGTAATGTAGTTTAACGTCACTAGTTTAACATTAGTTTAACGTGCACTAAAACTACACCTCCGCCATTTCCACCGGCTTGCATCAGCAGTCAGCATGTGCTTGAAAGCAGAATAACTTCTCTCCGGAATTTCTGTTGGACATACACATTTGTCTTATTGAGTACAGTGATAAAAGTAGCAGCACGATATCTGTAAACTAAATGAAGCTGTTTTTGAGTGAAGGGAACCCGCACTGCCTTAAGGCTTTAGCCGCTTTAGTAGTGACCCAGGCTAAATGTGAGGTGGAGTATGTCAACCTCGAAGGTGAGAACACATTTACACATGCATTATAAGCGATTGTCTGCTAAACTGCGTTTCTGTTTCGCTGTCTTGTAACTGTAGCTGGGTGATTTCACTGACAACTGTCCATAAGGCATCCGGTCAGACTGATGGACACTGAGAAGCAGCTAGAATGTCATGTTTTATAATGAGCTGTTTCTTTACTTTGTAAATTAAATAATGGCAACCAGTAAGTGCCATCGGCTCCACTTGACCACCACCAACCATTCATCCATACACACATACATCTGACAATGTGGGTGAGGTGGCTTGTCTTAGGATACAACAATAGTTTGGCACTTTGGGACCACAACTGCAGCCTCCCCACTGTGGGACTTGGTCTTCCATCACAGTACAAACCAGGCTCTACTCTGCTTTACTTCAGAGGTGTGACAGGATCTGGTTTTTACAACCTTTGTTGATATCTATGAGATATAATTATACCTCATAGATGTGTTATGAACAAAGTTAAATAGCTTGCTAGTGTTTCCTCCCAGAGCAGGCTGTTTCAACATAAATACAATAAGATTGTGTATGAAATTACTCTAATTTTGAGTCTTGTTCATGTGTTGAATTCATAGACTGTATATAAAATTCTGCAAATAGAGCAGATAATCACATAATGATAAATAATCACAGTACATTAAAAAGAAAGATACAAATATAAAATCCCTCAGTTGTATGCACAGCTAAACAGAACTGTTTTTAACCTGGTTTTAAACATTGTCAGAGAGGAGGCCTGTCTCACATTTTCAGGAAGACTGTTCCAGATTTTAGCAGCATGAATCTGAAAGGCAGCCTCTCCATGTTTAGTTCTGACTCTGAGGAGCACAGGGCCTGGACTCCTGTTAGTGCCCAGAGTCCGGGCTGGTTCATATGGGACTAACATGTCATTAATATATTTTGGTGCGAGGCTATGGAGAGACTTGTACACAAGCAGAGCTGTTTTAAAGTCTATTCTCTGAGCCACAGGAAGCCAGTGCAGAGACCTGAGGACCGGACTAATGTGGCCGTACTTCCTGTTTCTAAAATTAAAATAGTTATTGATTATTAAACTGAATGATGAATCATTACAGCCCTGATCTGATCACCTTTGATGAATGCAAGTGAAGGGACTAAACCACAAGTCTAGAAAACAGCTCTTTTGTTTTCTTTTTCTGTTGTAACACTCCTAAAACGTATATGTCAACAGGTAAAGTGGTGCCCTTTCTGAGCCGCCCGGCACTGCCAGCGCTGATGTTACCCAGTGGACAGGTTCTGTTCACCTCCAATGCCATTTGCAGGTCTGTGTGAGGATGGGGTGTGATTACAGTTTGAGCATTACAATTTTGACTTGTATTTTTCCCTATTCGTTTATAAAATGTCTAGATACATGTTTGAAATAAGTGGGCAAGAGAGCAGTGCAATATGCGATCAATGGCTTGAGTGGGAGGCTACAAATCTGCAGGTGAATATTATTTTATATCGTAAATCCAGTCTCGAAAATATCCTATTTGTTGTTGTTTTAACTCTCTGCATTTATGGATCAGACCAAATACAAGTATCAGATTTTTGGCTGTCTTAAATTTTTCAAGTTTACACAAAAACTGTTTTGTGTTTGCAGCCTGCGCTTGTACAGGCTCTTCATGCTGCGGTGCTGCAGGGAAGAGGATCTGAGGTGCCAAAGATCATCCAGGGTCCCTTAAACTACTTGGACCAAAACTTGAGCAAAGGAAAGACAACGTATTTGACTGGAGTAAGATATGATATCTTCTTGCAGGAATGTCACCTAGGATATATATTCAGACCACAGATGAAGTAAGATTCAATTTAATGTAAACCAACAAAACGCCTACATTTGTGGTATTCAATTCAATTCAATTTTAATTCAATGTATTTGAAGCCATTTGAACACAGGAAGTGCCGGCTCATCACTGTCCTTTGACCCTCCTGCATCTGCAAGGGCGTTACATTTATACTGTGACTGTGACTTAATTCTGTTCAGATGTTCAGAATTGTGTGTATTGCTGACCTTTGTTTGTCTGTTAGGAGTCGGTATCCGCTGCAGACATTGCCTTGTGGGCTGCTTTGTTTCCACTCCTTTCTGATTCAACAGTAACAACAGGTGTGGCATGTTAAAAAGAGTAAAAGAGAGTATTGAATACTGAAATGCCAAAATTTGAAATATGTATATCTCTGGTTTAAGGTGAGCACAAGGCTGTGACACTATGGTTCAACCACGTGAACGGTATGAGCGCTTGCCAATTGTCAGCTCAGAAAGTCCTCCAGGGGAAAGGGCTGCAGGGCATGAAGAGCTACATGCAAAAACAGCCTCAGAGCAGTCACAGCAGAGAGGTTCCGCCAAGCACCAGCAGCCCTGCCGAGGTACCACACACCACGCATGAAACTATTCCATTTGAGGCATTCAAACATTTGAGCGATCTGTAGATTTGTCTCAAGGCACAGTGTCTTTGTAATATATAAGGTTAAATAAAAGTTAAACAGTAGAATTTGTAGTTTCTGTGAATTGTTCATGTTTTATTCAGTCCTAATGTTTTTTTTCATTACACCTGTGAAGGGAGATGATGGCGAGCGCATGGTTTCTGAGGAGGAGATGGAGGCGGCTGTTTTGAATTACAACAAAGGGCTGAGCACCTTTCAGGATTCAGAAAGAAAACATCCAATGTGAGTAACCTTCTTTGCATCCTGATAAAAATGTTTTTGTCATATATTAGTCTCCAATTACCAATCATTTATAATGCTTTTGTTATAATAATGCCATTAAGTCTCTAAAAAGTCTACTACATTTTGAATAATAAAACTTTGTAATAAAGGAATAGAAACTAAGACGTTTCTAATACACCAATTTAATAATAAAATAAAATACTATACCATTACACTTCCCTTCTTCAGTGTAAAATATTCATGTGTTTACAATACTAATTTGTAGACTCTTTATTTAAATCTTTGTTATGTCATTTTTAAGATTGCCTCAGGAGGGACGAAGAAACATCCTTTTGACCAGTGCTTTGCCTTATGTCAACAATGTGCCCCATTTGGGCAATATCATCGGTTGTGTCCTCAGCGCAGATGTGTTTTCAAGGTTCGTAACACTTGTAAATCTACATTAATGAATGCGCAGACTGGTTGTGTGTAAGGCTGTTCAGTGATTTGTTACGCGTGTTTAAACTCAGGTATGGCCGTTTGCGTGGCTGGAACCTGCTGTATGTGTGTGGGACTGACGAGTATGGGACAGCCACGGAGAACAAAGCCCGAGAGGAGGGCCTGACCCCTCAGCAGATCTGTGACAAGTACCACGCTGTTCACGCAAACATCTACAAGTGGTTTCAGATAGACTTTGACTATTTTGGAAGAACGACCACACCAAAACAGACAGAGTGAGTTGGAAAACTTAAAAGATTCCCAATAAACACTATATATGTATTCAACTATTTTACAATTGTTTTCAGAATTTCCCAGGATATATTCTGGCGGCTCCACAAACTGGGTTTCTTGGTGGAGGACACGGTGGAGCAGCTCAGGTGTGAAAACTGTAATCGCTTCTTGGCCGATCGCTTTGTGGAAGGCATCTGTCCTTTCTGCAATTACTCTGAGGCCCGAGGTGACCAGTGTGATAAGTGTGGCAAACTGATCAATGCTGTGGAGCTCAAGGTGAGCCCTCACTCATTTTGATCCATAGTCAATGTGTCATGTTTAACTTCATTAATTTTGCAGTTTAATCATTCTCCTTTATTTCTGATTTTTGTGGTTATTGCTTTTTCAGGAACCACAATGTAAGGTCTGCAAGCAGACACCAGTCATTCGTACCTCAAAACATCTTTTCCTGAACCTGCCAAAGGTATTGTTTATACTACATTTATAATTGCTTATTGTTTTTAGTTGTTCAGTTCATTTTTTTATGTGTGAACTGATAAAACACTAGTTGGAGACCCAGCTGGAACAGTGGCTGGATAAGTCGACCAGTACAGGAGACTGGACAACAAATGCAAAGCAGATAACTCGATCCTGGTTGAGGGATGGACTGAAACCTCGCTGCATCACCAGGGACTTACAATGGGGGACACCAGTGCCACACCCTGACTTTAAAGAAAAGGTAAACCTGTCCATATTGTTCTAAGAACATGGCCTGTTGGTGGAAATTTGAATTTGCAATTATTTTTCAAATAAGATAAGATAAGATTGCTTTATTTATCTCACAGAGGAGAAATTTACATGTCACATTTGGCATGGATAGAGACACTCAGATTGTGCAAAGGGAGGAAATGTGCAAACATGTTACATGCAGGATATATGTACAATAAAGTGACAATAATTATGTACAACAAAAGTGACAAGTGTCAATTGGAAACAGTGTCAATAGTAGTGCAGGTTTTCACACAGTGATCATTTAAAGTGACTTATTGTACAGTCTGACAGCGGTGGGGATAAAGGCCCTGCGGTAGCGCTCCTTCCTACACTGAGGGTGCCTCAGTCTTCCACTGAAGGAGCTCCTCAGCTCCTCTACAGTCCTGTGCAGTGGGTGGGAGGTATTGTTCATGATGGAGGTGGCTTTGGCCAGCACCCTCCTGTCCCTCACCTCCTCCACAGAGTCCAGGGAGCAGCCCAGAGTGGAGCTGGCCCTCCTGACCAGCTTGTTCAGTCTGTTTCTGTCCCGCTCTGTGCTGCCCGGGGCCCAACAGACGGCAGCGTAGTAAATGGCAGAAGCTACCACAGAGTCATAAAAAGTCCTGAGCAGAGGCCTGCTCACTCCGAAGGACCTCAGCCTCCTCAGAAGGAAGAGGCGACTTTGGCCCTTCTTGTGCAGGGCGTTTGTATTATGGGACCAGTCCAGTTTATTGTTAATGTGAAAACCCAGGTACTTGAAGCTGTCCACCAGCTCAATGTCCTCCCCCTGGATGTTCATCAGTGTGTGGGAAAGTGGTTTCTTCCTGAAGTCGATGACCATCTCCTTGGTCTTACTGGTGTTCAAGCACAAGTGGTTGCGCTCACACCAGTCGACAAAGTCCTTGATAACCGACCGATATTCCACTTCGTTCCCCTCAGACACACAGCCCACGATGGCGGAGTCGTTGGAGAACTTCTGCAGGTGACAGCTGTGTGTGTCGTGTGTGAAGTCTGAGGTGTAGATGGTGAAGAGAAACGGTGAGAGGACAGTGCCCTGAGGGGCCCCAGTGCTGCAGACGACCACCTCAGACTCACAGCTGCGCAGCCGCACGTACTGTGGTCGGTCTGAGAGGTAGTCGATGGTCCATGCAGTGAGGCTACTGTCCACTCCCGCGTCCTCCATCTTCCCCCGCAGCAGTGCCGGCCTGATGGTATTGAAAGCGCTGGAGAAGTCAAAAAACATGACCCTCACAGCGCTCCCGGCGGGCTCCAGGTGGGAGAGCGTCCGCTGCAGGAAGTAGATGACGGCGTCCTCTACTCCGATGTTGGGCCTGTAGGCGAACTGCAGCGGGTCCAGGGTGGGGCTGACCACAGAGCGGAGATGGGTCAGGATGAGCCGCTCCATCATAGCACATGTATTTTACTCGGGTCCATCGGCATAACTAATGCATAACTTCGACGTTGCAAATTGTTATTTTGATTCAATAAAAATAACGATAATGATACGATGATACTTTTGTATTTTACTACATTGTTTCATAAACAGAAAATGCCTGACTTCCTCACCCTTTGTCTACAGGTGTTCTATGTGTGGTTTGATGCACCTATTGGATATCTGTCCATCACTGCGAATTACACTGACCAATGGGAAAAATGGTGGAAAAATCCACAGCAGGTAACACTAGTTTTGCCCATAATTGCACATAAAGAAGGTTTGGATCAATAAACCCACTCAGAGTCAAGAAACATGTTGTTTTTCAGGTGCAATGAAAACGGGGGTATTTATTGTTTGCAAACTGTGGGGTTAAGATTGTTTAGAACATGTTCACTATCACCAGCTCATCCCTCCCAGTCTAAAGCTTTGGACTTGCTGAGTGTGTATGTCTGTGTGAGAGTGTGAGAGTCTGCTGGTCATCACCAGCAGAGGTGGGGTTGGGGAAGAGCTGATAAGTTCTCTTTGAACTAGATGAGCTCACAATGATCCAATATGTCATTCTCACGCTGCAGTGTTGTTTCCTTACCACCAGGTGGAGTTGTACAACTTCATGGCCAAAGACAATGTTCCATTCCACAGCGTGGTCTTCCCCTGCTCTTTACTGGGAGCACAAGACAACTACACTCTGGTCAATCACCTTGTAGCCACAGGTAGCCTTTTCCTTTTCATTGAGGATTTGGTTTGTGAATTTCTGAACTTTGAAACTTCTTGGCAGAGTATTTGAACTATGAGGACACCAAGTTCTCCAAAAGTCGTGGTGTTGGTGTGTTTGGTGACATGGCCAAAGACACTGGAATCCCATCAGACGTGTGGCGCTTTTACCTGCTGTATGTGCGTCCAGAGGGGCAGGACTCGGCCTTCTCTTGGGCAGATATGGCTTTGAAGAACAACTCTGAGCTGCTCAACAATCTGGGCAACTTCATCAATAGGTAAGCAACAATACAAACCATTACTGTTTTAGTGTAATTTGCCTTTTAGAACATATACATTATTGTACTAATGTTGTAACTAAGTGATATACATTAACAAAAAGTACAGTGGCTGGCTACTGCACTTTTTTATGCCTACATTATGTTGTTCGTTTTTATACCAAAACTAACCAAAAAAGTTAAGTAACTGTTACAAGAGTTTGATCATAGTTTTCAAAAAAAATTTAGGATGGTGTAATAATTTTGCCTCTATTTAATAGCCTCAAATAAATTTGAAAAGATCAGGGATAAGTCGTACATCAAAGATTTAGCTCAGTGGCGTTCCACTGGAGTACCTTGATCTTCCAATTGGTCTCGGGCAGCTGATGCCTAATTGGGTCAAAAATATCTGGTAGATTGCATAAGGCCTAAGGTGGTAGAGGTAGAAAAATTCTGCTTCAGAAAAGAAATTGTCCTTGCCTGAATCTAATCCCAAAGTCCCTCGATCCCTTTAGCCAGAAGGCCAGCTTATGAAGTTTGAAATGAAATTAGTAAAATATGGCAGTGGCAACTTCACAAGTCAAATCCAAAAAATATAGCAGAATGCATGAAGAAGGCTGTTTTTGTTGAGTTGATGCTGTACTTGGTATTCTGTTTGGAGAGCCTCTCCTCAGGGGCATTAAGATGGTAAACCAGTGTAGTTGTAGATTTCATCATGCATGATGACAAAAATGGAGCGTGCCATGAACAGTCTTTTGTTGCACACAAAACTTGCTTTAGATATTATAGATGAACTATGAAGGCTGTGGGAGAGCCTTTGCAGCAGTATTGTTCACTCTTCTCTGTACATACATACACTAAATACATAAACGGCAGCTCTGAAATCATTGCACCTAAACCACTTAAGGGCATCCTGATTTACAGATGCAACATGTTCATTGTACTTTTGTTTTACATTTTTGTTCATATTTCCGCCTCACCCTGCCTTCTCTTTCATCATCCAGAGCTGGCATGTTTGTCACAAAGTTCTTTGAGGGCTGTGTGCCTGTGATGGACCTTCAACAGGAAGATAAGAGACTTCTGGCTCTGGTGGGCTGGGAGCTGCAGCAGTACATTCAGCTCATGGACAAAGTCAAGTAAGTCATTTTCCTAAGCATTTAACTAAAGTCATGTGTTTAAAAGACTAGAACTACTTCTATCACATCTGGAGTATCTATTCAATTGTGTTAACATCTTTTCATTTTTCATTAATATGATGTAAATGTCCACAGACTTCGGGATGCTCTCAAACACATTTTGAATATATCTCGGCATGGGAACCAGTACATACAAGTGAACGAACCCTGGAAGAAGATCAAAGGCGGAGACTCGGAAAGGTAAATGTTTATTATTAAAAAAACATTCCAACTTGCAGTACTATATCCGAGCTCTTTATTTGATCGAATATGAAAAGTATAGCATTATTTATTTTTTCATTTTTTTATATATAACGGTGATTCAGTACCAGCTCAGGCGTTTTGTCTCAACAAAACAATTATTCACTCCTTACAATCGCGACCGCCGATTTGAGCATGTCTTTCTTTCATTTTATTGTTTAGTATTTTATATTACATGAATAATCCACAAGTGTCAAATTCCTTCCTACATTTAGTACTATTTACTGTCAAAAGAGTCTGTATTACGTTTGTCTTTATTTTAAGGCAACGTGCTGGCACAGTTACGGGAGTGTCTGTCAACGTCTCCTGCTTGCTGTCAGTGATGCTTCTGCCATACATGCCGACTGTCAGCCAGACCATTCGGGACCAGTTCAACGCCCCTCCGTCCTGCATCAAGACCATGTTGCAAGGCTCTGGCACCTTTGTGTGCAGCCTGAGCGCGGGCCACCGCATCGGCACAGTGAGTATGCGGACAGGCCACGTCCATCCCACACCTGTGGCACCTCCAACATGTTGACGAAGGGTGATACAATGAGGATGCAACAGTGTGTCACTGTTTTCCTGTTGGGAAGACTGTGGATTTGTTTAAGTTCGCACATGCACAGACTTAATGGCTAGAGGCTGTTTCCAGGCCTCTGTCATTGGTCAGTTTTCTCTCGGGCCACTTGTCCCTTTTGGCTTTATTGTAATGACCAACACATTGTTGGCCTGACTCCTTCAAGCTTTAGTGTTTAGGGCTTATTATCTAAGATAAGGTGAAGGAATAGATAGAAAATAGTTTTTGAATTGTATAGTATTTTTTATCATTTATACTTTTTACATTTTATTACGATGCACTGCTAATTAATTGATAAGGCTATTAGTGTTTTATGATTAAATTTGTTTTTCTCTCATAGGTCAGTCCATTGTTCCAGAAACTGGAGGCTGAGCATATTGAAACTCTAAAAAAGAAATTTGGTGGACAGCAGGTATTTCTTGTCTATTGTCTATTCGAATGTGTTTGTGCAGTCTTCCTGATAATCAAATTAATTCAATAATGTCATGTCAATATATTTAGGATGATAGATGATAGGATGATAATCATTTACAGCAGTTTGAATAATAACTGGTGATTTTTGTCAGTCCCAAACCGCAGCTCCAAGTACACCCAGTACTCAGCCTGCCGCTCCTGCCGCCGAGGCGACTGCGGCTGGCGGAGTGGACCCAGAAAGAGCAAAGCTGCTCACGCAGGCGGTGGCTGAACAGGTAACTCAGTTTATATTTAACTAAAACTCGAAATTAATCATAATCATTTATCAATCATAAATATGCTTCGTTTCTGTACAGGGGGAGAAGGTGCGAGCATTAAAAACCCAAAAAGCGGATAAGGCTGTGATCACGGCAGAGGTTTCTAAATTATTGGACCTGAAGAAGCAGCTGGCAGCGGCTGAAGGAAAGAGCTCTGAACCAGCACAACAGAAGAAGAAGAAATGAGATGAACGGAGGCTTGTGTGGAGGTTAGTTAGGGAAGAGTCATTCAGAAGAATGGGAACACGCTGTATACGGAGAGATGAGGGTGTTAGCTTAAGGCAAAGCCGTAACAGGATCTAAGACAATGTGCTACTGGCACCAAGCACTAATGAAATGCTGGATATGCCGACAGGGAAATGAAAACACACAAAGACTGAGACAAATGAATACAGCTACAGAATGGAAGGATTTGGAGAAATCCCTCCACCAAAAGAAACTGATTTTATACTCTTCCTGCAATGGTTTGCATGCACTATTAGCTTTGTGAGATGTGTGGTGCACAAGGTGTTCTAAGATTTGGTACAAACACCTGCTAAAACTTTTTGCCTTGAATCATTTATATTTTTTAATAACCATGTAATCTGAATAAAAAAATCATTGAACTGTCTTTTTTGTTTTACTTTTATTGAAAAATTGCGATTACAGGTAGTTTCAAAATAATCAGAAATACATTATGCCATAAATGGTACGGTCATGCACAATATTTTACATTTTGTCATTTACAACAAGAAAATACCAGTGAATATATGTCAGAACATGACAGTAAAATGTTACAGTACATATAATACAGCATTATATAAAAATAGTAAATGATTACTGAACTACAAAGTTCTATTTAAAAATGCTATCAATAGAAAAGGTCAGCTTAGAAATCGTCTTCGATTAAGCAGTAAAGACACAAAGCTATGTGATAGAAAAGGTAAGAAAAGGTACAAGTTATCCCCACATACACTCATTACTTTTGGGCACTTTCAAGAATTACCTGAGCTACAGAAAGTCTGCAAACTGGGGCAAATAATCTCTACTAGCTGTCTTGCAGCCCTTTTAGATAGAAGGGGTAACAATGTATTGCTAAATGGTGGGAAAAGGCTGAAGTTCTCTGAAGTTCTCTCTTGTATGTCTTACTCAAATGAACTGCCCTTCAACAGTTGCATTCACACAGACATAATCTTTCTTACACCTGACATTCACAAAACACTCAGTAAGTTGCACTTGGATCCATCTGTTCTTCCTTTCCTAAATGCATGCTGTCTTTATTTGCCGCATTGCTGTAGCAGTCTTTTCTCACTCTTGTCCTAGACTTTCATCATTCCCTTTTTTTCCTGCTCTTTTGTAAAGTTCTTCCTTTTCTATAATTCAACATCTCAAGTAAATATCTTTGGTTTCCCTTTCAACAATACAAGACTTTCCAATCAAACCTTTTCCCACCAATGCTAGTTTATCCTGTGTTGATTTCTTCATTTCCTGGTGTTGACTAATCTCTCAATCAAGGCTCTGCGTGTCCTCTGTACCTCCTCGCCGAGCCTGTCAATCTCTGCTTTCAAACGCTCATTCTGTTCCGTCAGCTCCTGGACCTTCCTCTCGTTCTCCTGCTCCCGTTCCTTGCGACTCTTTTTGGTCGACGAGTAAGATGATGACGATGACGATCTTGGCGTGGTCAGTGAAAATGGGGACAAGGCACCGGTGGCCCTCTCGCTGCAGGTCCTCTTTCGTTTCCCCAGGCGGGAAGAGGGATACGCAGAGGGCGAAGATACGGGCGAGGAGGGCGACGAGCAATTCTGTGACGGAGACTGTGAGGCTGAGGAGGAGCAGGAGGGCGAATCTGGGACGCAGGGCAGATCGTCCTCACTGGCTGAAGGAGAGCCAGGCTTGACGTGGCCGGCCTGGTGGTGGTGGGGGTGATGATGGTGGTAGTAATAGCCTTCACTTATAACCTCTCCACTCTGATCCACCACTCCTCCATCACTCAGCAAGGCAAAAAACTCAGGCGGCAGCAGGTCACTACCCCCTCCTGTCGGCCCCTCTCCGTTCCTCCCTCTCTCCCCCTCGCCCCTCCGCTCCTCTGCCACAGCTGGACTCATGCAAGAAGAGGAGGATGAGGATGATGAGGAAGACGTGTGATGGAGAGCCTGGATCTCTGTTGCCCTCTGGACGCCTTCACTCCACGTTTGGCCTCCGTCCGACAGCCACGTCAGAGAACAACTTTCCAGGACGTCCAGAAATTCAGGCTCTTTCTAAAAAATAACAAGGATATGTCAATAGCTGTCAAAAGTGAGGAATAAGTAAGGTTTCAGTCGGTTTGTAATAGCTATGCACAAGAGTAAAGTAGTTTGACTATAAATGCTACGGACCTCGGTACAGGTGGGTGCACGTGCCAGTTTTGCCCCTCCTGTGTCAGAGCCCAGAATGTCCTGCAGGTCTTCATACCACGCCTCCAACTCTGCACCACACAGCGGCCCCACACCAGGGGGGTACGGCGGGGGCAGGTGTAGCCACTCGGCAGTCATGATGCCAGTCACTAAAGCAGAGTCCTGGCTACACGGTTCACACTGGCCCTGGAGATGGACATGAGAAGATGATGAGATAACAGACTTGACAGCCAGTAATTTCAATGACCTATAAGTCTTAACACTTAGTAACAAAATAAGAAAACTGTAAAATGATGTCCAGTGCAATTCCAGATAAACTTTGTCGCTATGCTGTCAGCTTTACTTGAACATTAACATTACTCACTTCTATTTAAACAGATTTACATGATTACATAAATTATAATCTTGGGGAATTATCATGTGTTGTGAATGATATTTACCTTGTCACTGTTAATCAAGTTTGCCAGTTAGTTGGAGATAGCTTGTCCCAACAATTCTGAAAAAAGGAAAAAAAATACATGTTAATTGCTATGACATTATCAAACAACTGAATTCTGCTGAAAAGTCTTAATGAAAAGGATGATTTGGAAAAATCTAAACGCCTGATTCCGAGACAATAATACAACCTGTAATATTTAGTATGTTATTGTGTAGTCTATTGTTATTTATGTTAGGATGAGTGTTGGAAAGAGCAGGATAAAACAAAAATACAATATGTTTCTTGGTTCCTGTAAACAAAAGATCTAAGGGTACTCTACAGCGCCCCCTGCCTTTCACAATCTTAAACACCTTGGCTCAGATAAACAAGCGGCCGACACAAAGATCTGTGATAAAAAACCTCATGTTTAAAGCCTTTTCAAGAGCTGACACTCCACTTCAAATGAATGAAACCATCACGAATGTATGGGTTGGTTTCCTTTGTTCAAAAGTCAAGAAAAACGTTATAGCCATTCTTGACAATATGATAAAGTATTTTACATTCCCATAGTTGATTTCGTAGCAATCAACTTGAGCAACTCTGTCTGAGGGAGCGTGATGCTGAAACTGTTTTTATTTTTATTTATGTTTTACTATAGTTACGTGAATAAACTAAAGGGTGTAAGGCCTCTGGGTTCAAGGCTTGAGTCTTGTCCACTGTAGCCAGCACAATTACGTCATGGAAATCAAAGTCCAGCAGAAGAATGGGCGAAACAAAAGGAAGAGCGCTCAAAATAAGAAACATAACAGTCCCGTCATTCACGCTTTAAAGTCAAAAGTATAAATACAGAATAACTACTACCGCCAGTACATAAACCCCTACTATTAATGACGCATGGTTTGCCTTCTGATTTGGTCCGGGTTTGTAAAAAGCTTTGATTACGAAAAATGTGGCTGTACCTCTGTTTATGTAATAATGAATGAAAGACAAGTATGATTTCTGTTAAAGGCGTGTGCGCGTCCCAAACTTAGTCCACGCGCTTCCGTGGATTTTTCCCGACAGCTCCATAAAAACAAATCAATGCCTGACAACTGCATTTAGAGTGACTGAGGCAGATGAGATTCTAAAAACAGATTTGATATTTCTGCCAAAAGGGTCACTATTGTTTTTTCTCATTCGAGCTCAGCTGACACTTGGAACTATATGACATAAGTTTTGTGGAAAAATAAAAGTCAATAATGAAGTAATCTATTTCACTTACCCTTTTTCTTCTATTCGCTCGCCTCCTCGACTGTCTTGAACACGAATGTGGTTGTTTTAGTAAAAATTGGTGATAGCTCATGTTAACCATTGTTCAGTCTTGACAGCTGAATGTGGCTTTTCGGAAACTCCCGGTGCTGTTTATATTGAGAGCGCCGCCAACCAACCCTGACAGAGGACGGCGTTCCGAAACAACCTAGCCGTCAGTCCGTGGATGACTGCTCAAGTGTCCAATCGCAGAAGCGGACTGTACATCTTCTCCTTGACGACAACCAATCGAAAGAGCGGAATCGTGCTTAGGACGGGACATGTACAGGAACTGCTGGTTGCGCTTTCTCTTTCCTATATAGTTTGTACGAGGAGCAATTGTGATGCAGTCATAAGACGGCCAGGACGAATTTGGGGCGTATGGGAGTCACATGAAAGGAATGATGCAATGCTTGGCAACCAATTTCTAGCTGGGGATAACACCAGCAGAATCAGAACATGTTTTATTAAACAGTGTTGGCTCTAACAAAAATCTAAAAATATACACATATGCAAGGATATCTAATGTCGAAGAATTGTTTGTTTACGGAACAAAACAATTTTATTTTTAAAAATTAAAAAATATATTAAAAAAACATGTTTCCCGCAAAAATCCATGTATAATTATTATCAAGCGTTATGTATCAATTGTATAGCGAATAAAGTTCAGTCAATTAGATAATTTAACATGAGCCAACAACGTATAGGGTTTGTGAGCACCAGGTCTCTGTCGGAATGATAAAGAACCTGTAACCTATATTCTCCTGGGACGTAGTTAATGAATGGTTAAGTAAAGCGCGCGGACAATGAAGTCATATACACAGCTCCATTCACTGGAGGAGCGCTCCGTCAAAACACGCCCGGCTCCAGGAGCGTCTGGCGCGCGCCGCTGCTACGTGCGCGTCTCCTTCTTTATTGTCCGTCTTTGATCAAAGTCAACTTACCTTTTTACGTTCCAAACATTCTGTACGTGTTTTGCCTAATTAGTGACAACTTCAAATGGCTCTTAGGCTATGTCTGTCTCAAAACTAGTTAACAAAGTTATCGTTTTGTTTTGTTTTTCAATATTTAAATTTACCGAACAAGTTTCATATTTGTATTATTCAGTATGTGGTGGTATAAAGTCAGCTAATAAGACAAATATTATGTATACAACATTCAACAATTCAGATTTATGCAGCTGGAACAGTCTTCCTGAAAATGTGAGACAGGAGTCACCTCTAACTATGTTCCAATCACGTTGAAAACAATGTATACAACTGAAGGATTGCATCTTCACTCTTTTTAATGTTTGAATCTTTTCAACGTATGTTTTAAGTGTTTGCATCTTGTTTTGTGAACTTGTGTGAACTGTCCTATACAAATAAACTTTCCTTGCCAAAACTATTTATAGAATGAATACGTGAGTAACTTATAGCGCTTCCAAACAGTCCCAAAAAGTCCACATTCCTAAACACAAGTTGCAGTTTTTGGTATTCAAACCCCGTCCCACCTCGGCTATTATATCACATGTTGTATTAATAGTAGCCTATCAACAGTCGATATTGTTTCCAAGCAGACTTCCCAAGTTCAACAGGGTCAAAGGGGTTGAGTGAGTCCCTCAGTGATAAGTTGACAGTGCAGGGCCACCAATGTAAACAACATCTGGTGGGCTACAGTAGTCCACCAGCAACAGCAGTGTCAACAAACAGACGCACGTTTCATCATGGCGCGCGCGTTCTCCGGTCTGGTCTCTGGGTCTGGTCTCCGGTCCGCGACACGTTCCCTGCCCTAATCCCAAACTCAGCACACAAGTGTGTGTGTTTTTTTTTTTTTTTCACGCAGCCCCATAGCAACAGCGCCAAGTAGCGAATAGAAAGCTCACCACTGTCTCTAGGACCCGGGTTTACGCTGGAGGAAGCACGAGGACGCGTCACTACCACAGTGGCTGTTGCTGAGTCTGGAGGAGCAAATACTTTCACTGCCCCCCTCCTCCCTCCTCCTCCTCCTCCCCTGCACACCTCCTCACCCTCCCTCCCACACCCTCCATCCCGCCGCCGTCTGTTTGTTTTGTCAGTCTCGTCGTCTGTGTTGTGTTCATTAGAAAACATTGTTTACAACCACAAACCCAGAGTGGCTCTTTGAACAGAAACAGCGCGATGTATAGGCCCAATGTTAATATTTATTGTCACTCATATTACTTTATTTTATTTTCTTTATTGGGTTAATTTGAATGTTATTTCGTTTGTATGTTTCTTGTTATGACACTAAAACATGAGAGCTAGGGATAACTCTCAGTGTTCATCCAAAACATACAATAAAATAGTCACAAGCAATGAGAACAGTGCAGAAAACACAATACATAATACTTGTGATCAGGTTTTTATTGTTTCGCTTGCATAACACAATATAGAGCCACACATGTTCATTACAGAGCGCAGTTTCCCACCCTTTTTTCTCCCAACCCCTATCCTCATAAGCAATGGATCAAAATGGAAAACAAAACAATAGATGAGATATGAATTCCATATGGAACAAAAAATAAATTTTAAAGAATATTTAGAACAATCTATGTTAATTTGTATTGTGTATTATACAGCCCAAAATCACAACAGCATCAACGGCATCTCGAAGTCTTCACAGAATTTTATATTGGCAACAACAAATAAGAAAGTCAAACTATTAATACAGACAAAGGACAAAGGAATACATAATAGAAAAATAGTCTAATTCTAGTTTAGATGAAAAAACTCCCATAAACATCCATGTAGACGGACAATGAATGAGAAATCCACTCCCATGAACGAACAGGCTGTAGATATGTTTATACATGCATATATTTGCCTATTACTTCAGTGAGAATAAGTTTAATATGGGATAATAAATTGCATCTGCTAACAACGATATAACTGTGATTGTCTGGAACGACTGAATGTTAAACATTATTCAGAAAGTTGATAAAGCTCCCGTGCTTTGCTTTGTCTGACTTTCAGGCAGTGCGCTGGGAGGAAATCTTCCTTTCATAATGCGCTCGGGTCACTTATTCCTGATCAGGGTCTGTTCATCTATTTATTTACATGTTATTTATTTAAATACTGTATATACAATTTACAGAAGTGGTGAGAATATTGGGAGGAAAGGCATAAATGAGGGGAAAATATGAAGAGAGACAATAGGGTATAGTAGATGTGAAAAAGGGAGTGACATAAAACAATGATTAAAAGCAGAATTAAAATTAATAGTTTCTAAGAATGACAATAATGTTGATTTATTCATGAATAGTGAATTATCAATTACTTGACTAATATTTTAAAAAGACAACCTTATTTTAGAGATGTTTTCTTCATCAAAAAATTCCCATGAACACTTTCAGGAGTGACGGCAAATAAACCAATAATTTTTTTCTGTTGTACAAAAATAGTTTCAATATCATTTTCAATCAAAATTTGCCAAAAGATCCACACCTCACACAACTATTCATCCTTTTAAGCCGGTGTGACGCCGATCATCTCATTCTCGCAGTCACAGCCGCTCGAAACATTTGTGCGGAGGGTATTTTTTTTGTTCCTGTTTTTCATAACTTCAACATAAACACCACATTGACGATACAACTATTCAACAATTGTAGTTCATGTCTATATAATAGTTACATTTTTGTTTGGTTTTCCTTTGTTTCCAGCCCCATCAACACTTTGGACTCGTGCCCAGTCCTCTGCCCTCGGTCCAGGGTCCACGACAACCACGCCTTATCGACCATATCACA